GTTCAGACGTGTGCTCTTCCGATCTCCCCAAAACCCCAAAACCCCAAAACCCCGCGAATCTTGATTATTTTATTGATTAAAGTAAATTAGTAATTAGATTCAATTATCAGGGTAGTTTAAATATAATATAATAAATGAACTCACCATCTGCAAGATAGCTTTACCCTGATTTCGACATTGAACGCTTTAGATTAGATGTTGAAAGAGTCAAAAGTGCCTCAAAGCATACAATATAAGTTTACGCTTCAAACTCATTCAATGCTTCTAATGAACTAGGCCCTTCTGAATAAATAGTAGTAAAATATCTACCATAACTCAACAATTACTCTTTAGCAATCATCATCATCATTATAGACTTCTCAGAACGAGTTTGACTCTAATCAATCCGAACAAAAAATTACTAATCAATAATTAAAAGAGTTATAAATTGCCAGTGTAGTGGACTTATAAGCTCAAATGTGACCTTAAATACTATTTAACACATCTGTGTCTAAAGTCAAGAATCATGATATGGCAGCTTTTAAAGAACTTTATGAAAAGTTACCGATGTTTTAGGAAAAGATTATGTATCCTGAGTTTGAGCCTAATATGCAACTCTACAGGAATGAAGCTAAACTGTTACTTGAATACATGAGAGATCCATCAAAGCCAAATGGATACTAATTTGATAAATATGGCCTGATTATTTTTCCTTTGAAAGATAGATGGCTTAGAGGGCCAGAATATGGATTTTTGCTTAGACATTACAAAACTTACTCTGCCTTGGGATATTACAATGTAAATCATCGTTAACAGGATCCATAAGTATATGAGCAACCTAAAAGTATAGTCATTGATTTATAAAGTTTATCATTTAGATGGAATGCTTTACTATATAAAAGGTCTTCATTTGAGAGAGTTTGGATTCCCAAGAATTAGGGATTCTTCAAATTCATAACAGCGCAAGGATTTTAAGTGGAAAAAAGTATTTTAAATTAGCCAATTAATAATTTAGACTAACTTTGTGACTGATCTACCAAAGCATTCTCCTATAGCATGATACTTAGTAGCAAAGTCAAAGACTAAAGATGAAAACTTCTTTATGCATTGTTCGATTCTCTACCAAGGTAAACTAATTTAGTCATAACTTTATATTTTAATTCTATAATTCAATTCACTCCCATTTATTTCAATTGAGTCAAATTAATATATTATGATAGAGTACCAAGACGACTATAAAAATCCATAAGCACTCAAAAGATTAAAAGAGAAACGTTAAAAGCTCAAAGATGAGGATATAAATCCTCCTGTCTAGTTTGAGAGAATAATTATGTGCCATATTCTGGAAAAAGACGATGGATTAGGAGAAGAAATATTAGAAGATGAGGATGAAGAAGAGGAATTATAAAATTAAAATCTGTTGCATTGCTTTCCTAACGATGGATTTTTCAAAACTTCATAAGGTACAGATAGAGAGCAAGAATAGAATTAGGAAAAGGATGAACCAATCATCGCTCAAACAATTAGCTTTACCTCTGAAGAAATAGATTACAAAAAAAACAATAAATCTATTTCGGAGAGTCTTCCAAACTAAAGCAATAATGATCTTTCGAATACCTTTGAAGATCATAGTCAGAATAAATTGAGTATTTAAAAGAGAGATGCAATGAAGAGAAAAAATCAATTTATGAAATATCATTAGAGCATAGTCAGCAATCAAAATGGTTTGTTTGATGAGTAGGGGAGAAGAAGAAGTGTAAGATTAAAGCAAATAAAACCTAAAAGTTAGCAAAAAGTAGATTATGTAGACTAAAATTAGTTTTATGTATATCATAAGAAACGTGATGATAAGCAGGGTAAAAAGCAAATTTAGAGAATGATCACTATTGACAAACACAGATTGAACTATGATGCTGAAGAGACTTAGAAATCCTCATCTGAAAATTCCGTAAGGCACATCTCTCCCTTTTCTTAAAATCTCCTAAACTAATAATAATAAAAAGATGATAGAAATTTAAAGAGTAATTATTAAAATAATCAATCCAATTCATAAAGCAACTTTCACAGATCTCTACCCAAAATAAAGTAATCATAACCTAGAATGATTTAAAATTATTGCTAAAATCTTGATGATTGTCTGCCAAACAATGAATAATAGTAGCACTTTGATTAGTAGTTGGAAAGAATAGAGGAAGATTCATATGAAAAGGATTTAGATTAGTTTTCAGATGTTAACGACAGTGAAACGACCGAAGAAGAAATGATAGAAGAGCTCACTTTTCCTCAAGTTAAAAATATCCTTAAAGCCTATATAAATAAATTTCGAAAATGGAAATCTTCACAGTACAATAGTATCAAAAGAATTAGATGGTTGATGTCAAAGAAAACTGGACATTATGAGGGGAAAATAAATAGATGGAGGTAAAGATATAGGAGCAAAAAAATAACAGAAGCCTAGATAAAAAAATTTCAATCCTAATCTGGATATTAAACTCAATAAATGAGGGATAATAATAAAAAGTACAGATAAGTATAATTTTAAAATCAACCTATCCTTAATAACTTAAACACGCTAAAAAATGGGAATGTCTTTAGTTTTAATCCTAATCTCAGAGAGCTTGGTGATATCATTGATGATAGTTTGACTGATTTCCAACCACACTAAAATTTCGACAACATGCCAAAAAGCACAATGAGACCAAACTTATTCACAAATGATCTAGCTTAAGGCATTAAGCCTTACAAAACCCCCAACAAATAAGCTTTTGAATTCAATGCAGGAACCCTATAAAAAGATTATGGACTTTAGATGACTTCTAATGGTAATCGGCAGAATAACTACAATGAAAATGAGACTGAAAATGACATTGAAATAGTCAGAGTCAAACCTTCACCTTTATCATAATTCAATAGGAAAGAGCCAGATTAAAGATAAAGAATAAATTTTAGCTTCGATCAAACTAAAATCAATATGGATTTAGCCTAAAATGAGCATTTGCTGTTGAAAGAAGAAGATAGTATTCTTTAAATATCAAACTAATAGATGATTTAAACCTATAAATAAAAGGATTAGAGCAATACTATTACCAGCACAAACACAGTAAACAATAATAATGAGAGATTTCTAAAGTTAATGAGTAAATACTGATTCCTATTCAAAAGTAGAGATAAATTACTGAAGTATACATTTAATCAAGATGTATATCTTTTCAATAAATTTTTCATTATTCCTCAATTAATCTGCTATCTAAATGTGGGGTTTTGGGGTTTTGGGGTTTTGGGG